GAGTTCTGCCTCCAGGAGGCCTCCTTTTGAGCCCGGAAGGGTGGTCAAACTAGTCAATCACAGCATCAGAACTCTAAGCACGTGAGAGAGAGTGGGAACCTCCCAGAACATTGTATTGTGCCATGCCCAACAGAAATAACCCAGGTGGATAGCTCCTCAGTTGCTCATAGAAAATCCTACCTTGGAGTTTACAAAGACTTATGGATAGAAAAGCCACACTAAGTAATTTAACTACACTGCAACATCTTAAGAAAGAATACTCTTAATGCTCTATCTGAAAAACTTAGGAACAATAGATCCCATTTGCTACTCTAAGGGATCTGTCTGCATACCTTCTGTTTCCTTTTTTATATACAGTAGTGACAGTTTTCTCTTACACCTGTTTGCCCAACAGCTTTACTTACCTGCAAATATTTCACAAACTGGAACTTGCCATTTTCAAAGGTAGTACCTGTTTCTTCAAAAGAGGCATCAGATAAAATAAGATATTGAGAGAGCAAGTTTGACCTTTTTTTTTTTTTTAAATAATGTGATGCTTTCCATTTGGTCATAAAAACATAAACTTAGTGGAGAAAATATAAATGAGACTTTTAAGTTCTCATCTTTTGTAGTTAAAGCAGGAACTTATAAGACTTTTTCCTTCATGATCTTTGTTACTGATACACAGCCTCATAAATTACTATTATCCCTTTTATGCAGTCATTTTTTTCTTCTGTTACAAATTTAAAAACCAAAAAACCCACTGCTGTCAATTTTGACTCATCACGACACTACAGGACAGAGTAGAACTGCCCCATAGGGTTTCCAAGGAAGTTAATCTTTTATAGAAGCCACATCTTTCTCCCGCAGAGTGACTGGTGAGTTCAAACCACCAATCTTTTGATTCCAAGAGAGTAGGAAAATCTGGATCTTTATAAGTTCACTTCAGCTAAACATAGTAACTAGTTATTCAGCACATGCTATGTGCCAGGCTCTATTCTGTGGGCAGAGAATATATCAATAAACCAGACATGAAGTTCCAATGCTCACATTCTTGTAGAAGGACACTGACAGTAAACAAGTATACTACATGTCAGATAACAAAGCTGGGTAAGGAAATAAACTGATGAAGTAAAGTTACTGTTTTAGATAAAATGATAGACATCAGCCTCTCAGAGTCGGTAAACTTGGGTAGAGACCTGAGTGAACCTGAAGAAAGAGATATGCAGTATGTGGGAAAGAATTCCAGATAAAGGGACTATTACATGTTTTGAATATAGGACGGCATTTTCATTTTTTAAAAAATTTTCATATAGTCTTTTACTCTGTAATCTTGGGTCTATTCTTCACCAAAACTAGAAAACAAATTTTATTTAAAATCATAACCAAGTAGGAGGTAGCCAGTGCAAGGTGATATTTTCAAAGCATTTAATTGGGCAATAATACACCTAGTTACTTGCAAGGAGTAAGAAGACACTGGGATCAAGTGGGAAGTTTAAGAGTCTCTTTTGTAAATCCTAGGACTCATGAGAGTTGAGACTAGGGTGGTAGGCAGTAAGAACGGAAAAGAGAGCATATGTCTTAGTTAGACTTACTGGGTGGTAAGATACAGAAATTGAGTCAATTCCAACTCGTGATGACCCCCTATGTGTCAAATTTATAACATGGACATGAATTTATTTCACAGAAGCCTAGTCAAACTCCATAATGTGAACTGGAACCAGGACTTCCAAATCATCAGGAACTAAGTCAATTCTTACTCTCTACTTCCCTGTAAACTCATAGCTTCTAATTTCTGCTGCTTTTCATTCAACTGCTTTATTCTCTGCAAACCTACTTTCTCAGCATGGGGCAAAAGAAGACTGCCTCACAGGAAGTTTATGTGGCCATCAGTTCAAGCTCTTTCCTCTGGAGAAAATGGTAGCTCAGCTTGAGAGAGGTATCCAATCTAGATAGGGTTGCTAGATAAAATACAAGATGCCAAGGTAAATTGGAATTTCATATATCCAACAAAATTGTAAGTATATATACGGCCCTGTTAATCAAGCCTCAGGTTGCAATATTGAAGGATTTTCTGGGCAAAATATTGAACAATAAAGGAAGCATCAAAAGAAGATGAAAATGCACAGAATCACAGTGCCAAAAAAAATGGTCAATGTTCAGTCGTTGCAGGAGGCAACATATGATCAAGAGCCAATGGGTATTGAAGGAAGAAGGCCAAACTGCACTGAAGGAATTGCTGAAAAACAAGGTTGCAAGAATTGATGGAATACACATTGAGATGTTTCAGCAAACGAATGCAGTGCTGGAGGCATTCACTAGTTTATGCCAAGAAATATGGAAGACAGCTACCTGGTTAACCAACTGGAAGAGATCAATATTTGTGCTGATTCCAAAGAAAGGTGATCCAACAGAATGCAGAAATTATCAAACAGTATCACTAATATCAAAGAGCTCTGGTGGCATAGTGCCTGAGGCATCTGACTGCTAACCAGAAGGTTGGTGGTTCAAAACTACCAGCCACTCTGCAGAAGGAAGACTGGGCAATCTTCTATAAAGATTTACCACCTCAGAAACCCAAAGGGGGTCACTGTGAGTCATAATTGACTCGATGGCAGTGAGTTTGGTTTTTTTGTTTGATCATTAATATCACACATAAGTAAAATTTTGCTGAAGATAATTCAAAAACAGTTGCAGTGGTACATTGACAGGGAACTGTCCGAAAAATAAAGCTGGATTCAGAAGAAAGCGTGAAATGAGGGATATCATTGCTGATGTTAGATAGATCTTGTCTGAAAGCAAAGAATACCAAGAAGATAATTATTTACCTGTGTTTTATTGACTATGCAGGTCATTCAATTGTGTGGATCATAAAAAATTATGGTTAATATATGAACACTGGGAATTCCAGAACACTTCAAAGTGCTCGTGAGGAACCTGTATATAGACCAAGAGGCAGTCATTCAAACAGAACAAGGGGATACTGAATGATTTAAAATCAGGAAAGATGTGCATTAAGGTTGTATCCTTCCACCATAGTTACTCAATCTGTATGCTGAGCAATTAATCCCAGAAGCTGGACTATAAGAAGAGGAATGTAGCATCAAGATTGGAGGAAAACTCCTTAACAACTTGTGATGTGCAGATGACACAACCTTGCTTGCTGTAAGTGAAGATAACTTGAAGCACTTACTGATGAAGATCAAAGACTACAGCTTTTGGTATGGGTTACACTTGAACAATATAAAAGAAAACAAAAATCCTTATCACTGGACCATTAAGCAGCATCACGATATGTGGAGAAAAGATTGAGGTTTTCAGGGATTTCATTTTACTTGGATCCACAATCAGTGCCCCAGAAAGCAGCAGTCAAGAAATTAAACATATTGCACTGGGCAAATCCACTGCACAGGACCTCTTTAAAGTGTTAAAGGAGCAAAGATGTTGCGGTACTTAAATTTGTACGTCAACTTGGCTGGGCAGCTGGCGGTAGTATTCCCCATGATGAGACTGGCAATCAACTCCATGGTGGGATCTACCACAAGCAGTTGAGTAGCTGCCTTTGGGATGTGGTCAGCTTCCTGTATATAAGTAGAAGCCTTGGGGATAGTTTCTAGCTTATGACAACCTTGGATCCTGCATGTAGCCGTGTCATTGTTCAGCAGCCTGTCATATGCTCTGCTGACCTTGGGACTTAAAATAGACTTAAATTAATGGCCTGCCATGTGGTTTGGTAACATCGGGACTGTGCCTTTTTACTTGTCAACCTTGGCTTGTCAGCCTCAGCAGCCAGCAGCTGTCTGAGTGAAGAAATGCCTCTAGCTCCAGTGGGCTGGGAGCAAGAGGCAGAGCTGGACCCCAAGGTTGAGGAGCTTTCACCAAGCCCCTAAAGCCTGGCATTTGGAACTCAGACTTCTAGCCTCCCAAACTGTAAGAAAATAAACTCCTGTATGTTCAAGCCATCCCATTTGTGGTATATTCCTATACCACAACCAAAACAAGTGTCATTTTGAAGACTAGGTGCCCCAACCCAAGCAATGGCATTTCCAATATCCTCATATACAACTAAAAGCTGGACAATGAAATAGTTTGTGCCCTTCAAGTATTTATACTCTACTAGTTATTAATTAATGAAAGGCCAATTAATGAACAGTCTAGTGAAGACTTTTTAAAAAGTCATGTTATAAAAAGATAGAAGAAGGAATAGATTAATTCTATTGAGAAAAATGAAAGTTTCTAAGAAATGGAACTTGAACTGAGTTTCAATATGAGGAGAGATTTGAGTTGGGATTTAGAGAATTATTGGAAAGACTGCCTATGGAATAGAAATAGTTTTATCAAGATAAAAAGAAG